TTTCGAAGTTGTGGGTCAAAACTGTTTGAATTGGGAAAATATTTTGTTAAACTAAATTGATATTATCAAATTATAGTGTTTAAGCTTTCATTGGGTTTTGGATTCATTCAATTTGGATTAAAATTGAATTTTTTATGAATTTTCCAAGTTGAAGGTAACAAGCTGAAAAATCTGTCTTGCGGACCAAAAATTTGGGGCGATTTCATTTCGGTGCTAATTAGGATTTTCATTCCAATTGAGGTAGGGGATGATTATAGGTTTATGTGGTATGTGATTTACTGTTTTTGATGCTTTTGCTATGTTTATACATGAAATCTAGGATTTAATTTAATTAGTCATTAGTTAAAAATTTAATTCACATAGTTGTATATTGTGTAGAATTAATTAATGACTTGGCATTTAGTTAGGCCTTGACTTGATATTAGTGATGAACTTGATATGTTCTTTAATATATATTAAATTGAAAATATTTGGATGAATATTGAAATCAAGAGAAATTTATTATTTTTATTTAATTAATTTATGTTTTACTATTCATGGCTTTAATTAAAGTATTTATATGATAATTGTAATGACCTTAATATTACCTTTAATATGTATTAAATTGAAGTCATTTGGAATTGATTTGAAATCTAGAAAATTTAATTATTTTACTTAATTAAATTTTATCTAATTGCTCCATGGATTTAATTGTGTTTTGTAAGTTGTTTCTATATTTAAATCATGGACTTGGACTTGTTATACATTCTATAATGACCCTGTCATTTCCCTTCTTTTCCTTTTTTCGGTAAATTTCTTTTTTCGTCTTTTCCCTATTTCATCATTTAGTTGTTTTTCATTTTTCCTTGCATAACCTAACTTTTTGTGTTCGGATTTGATTTCGAGTTTGCATACATCATGATATTTCATTTCCATGATATCTACATTTTCGCTTTTGTAGAAAAGCATGTTAAATGTTTACTTTTCTTGTAAAGGGTATAAATGCATAACTTTTGATAATTACTCTAAACTTAAGGGGTTTTTTTTTGCGTAATTAAATAAAGTAATTATTTTTCGTCTTAGGGACCATTTTACAATTTAATTTGGAAGATATTTTCAAAAAGGACCTTTTTGCAATTTTCAAAAAATGTGACAAGTCTCACATTCCTAATGTGCCACTTGTTGACATTGTGGAGGAACCACTTGGAGGCTTAATCTCATGACATATGGAGGGTGGAGATTTACCTATTTGTTGGCCTAAGATTGGAGCACTTGTTGGCATGGATGGTTGACAAGTGTAGGTTGGATATTTAATTTTGGAAGCTTACTTAGATTCATAACAAGTGTCGACTTCACAATTGGTCTTGCATTAGTGTGTGTGTGAGAGGTAGTGCAAGAGCACCTAATGAGTGGAGAATCCCACCATTTAGCTTAGGGTTTACACATTTGTCTCATTTTTATCTTTTTTCCTCTCAAGAACCCTAACTTAGCCACCATTGGAGCAAAGCTTGACTTAGAGCTTTGACTTCATTTTTGATACCCTTCCATTCACCTTAGACCATTAAGCTTGGAATACAAAAGCCTTGCCTCATTTTCCTCTTCATAACCCTAGAAGGAAAATTTGAAATTCCTTTGCTTCCCTTGGATTCAAGAGGAACAATCCTCTTGTGAGGTAGGGGTGGTTGTATGTTTATCCTCTTTGAGTTTTATATCAGAAAGAGAGCGAGATAGCATTCTCTTCGCATATGGAGTTTAAGGTTTCCATTACAAAGTGATAGCCTCAGAAAGGAAGTTGTAGTGGTTGTGGATCCTGTTGTTGAAGATGGAGTTTAGGGATTTTGTTTCAAATTGGTTGCCGAAGGAAAGGTGTTAGCAGCGGGATGCTCTCAGATGAGGTGCCGACCCTTTCTTTGGCCATTTAGGGTGGCTTCAGACAGTTGAAAAGGGTGTAGCTTCTTGAGGCGTGGGATTTTAGGGTTCTCTGTGATCCAATGGTTGTGATCAAACTATGACTTGGGCTATTGGGCTCTTTAGTTAATAAAATGAACTTCTAAACATTAAATTATTAATTGGGCCAATAATATAATAAGTAGCATGGGCTTAATTTGCAGCCCTTAATATACTTATATTTCAAATAAAATAATTATATAAATATAAAATATATAATATATCGGCGCTCTCAAGACGCTCCCGCTCTCAATTAATTTTATATTTTGTCACTTTTGCGCTCCCGCTCCCGCTCCCGCTCCCGCTCTCGCTCCCGCATTATGTGTGATACCCTTCGGATTCGAGACACGGATTGATCAGGCCCAGGCCCAAACCCGAGGGAATATCAAACAATTAATATTTTAAAACGAACACAAAATACAAAATGAAATAAGAATAAATATTAAAAAGCTGAAAGAGACTAGATATAAATCCTTTAAAATTGAATAATGAAAATCTGACAATCCAAAACTCCATAAGTTTAACAACTCGGAAATCCATCTCTAGTGGACCCTTAATAAAAATCCAAACTGAATTAAAACAACTGAAAGAACATCCCGATAAGCTATGGAGAAAAATCCTATATCGTCTGTAGAGTGAGTAGAAACCTCTGCTCAGCATGAACACGTCTAAGTCTGGAACTGTTGTGTACCTGAAAAATAAGAGTGGGTCAGGCCCACGCGCAAGTTCTATACTACTACAATCCAAACAGAGGCCCGATACGCATGTACATTCTAAACAATTCAACAATAGCTAATAGTCCGCAAATATATATATAGTCACACTAAAGGACCCTCACTGGACTACAGGCCGGTCTCAACCTGAATAGAGGTAACATGCTAAAATGCACACGGAGTGGGCATGTGTACCTGAACCTAAATAGGGTACACCTCCAACCATCGTATCCAGCTATGCATCTCAATGCATATACGCTCCCTAACCGTCGATCCTGAGACTCAAGCTCATATCGAGGTACCATAACAATATATTTAAAATCCATCATGTATCCTAGTAGTGCCGCTCAACTAGTTGTTGCCATGACACTACAATCAATAGAACTTAACTTTTAGTTAATCCAATTCTTAATCCAGAGTAGGTAGGTTTTGGTGTTTTTAAACCAAACCGTCCCTAGTATACCACCGTCCCATACTGGTGTATACTATCCAATCATCCAGCAGTTGATAATACCAACAATTAAAGTAGACCTCAACTGAATCCATATCTCCATCACAGATACTGAAGGCATAGTGTAAGCATCAAGGAACACAGTCAACTATATATATAAACATGTTCAGCTTTATATCCATCACTGATACTAACAATTATAATGTAAGCATCAATTAACATAGTCACAGTATATACATAAACCTACTCAGTTTAGGTTGTTCCATAAAATCTGGTATCGTGCCAAGTTTAAATCTTAATAGCATTCAACATCCAGTAGTTGATATTATAGGCAGTTAAAGTAAACATCAACAAAATCCATACCTCCAATAATTGATACTAGCAGTGATAATGAAAACATCAACACAGAATTACAGTATGTACATAGACATGCTTAATCTGTAGTGTTTTCACAAAATCCAGTATAGTGCTAAGTTTGTTTAAATCTTAAAGTCACTTAACACCAACTCATCCAAAACAAATATAATTCAGACACATGATCATGATATATGATAAAGCATGTTTTAATTATATTATCTGTCTCAGAAGATTACAAATCACAGAAAATTAAACTAATTTAATTCTTCCGACTCCAACCACAGTATGTTATTTTGTTTACAACGTATACTGTTCAAGTGACAACCATTATTAGATTATTAACATGCCTCCTGAAGTCTTAGAATTGTCTCTAAGCATCATCCATACACCTCACATATAGCACTAAACTCAACCGAAACCCCAGAGAACTAACCACTACAACCAAAACTGACTGGAAACGAAGAAAAAAATAAAAATTCAGCAAGGAAACGTCTCCAAAAAGTGGAGCCGCCTCCTTTAGGCCTTGGAGCCGGCTCCCACACTTGGGAGCTGCCTCTAAATCAAAGGGAGCCGGCTCTCTCCCTCTTTGCCTCATCTCTTCGTCTTCCCTCTTCTTCAGAACCCTTCTGCAACTTCTCTGCCCTGCGCTATGGTTCCCAAAAGTTGTAACTCAATCCCAGTAGGTTCCCAGTCCATGTTTAAGTCTTTAATACGTTCCATACATAGGTTTAAACAGAAAATTAAGCAAGCAAATAACACGTTTTAACAGGTTTAGCAAGCAAGCAACCATACTGTGATAATCCAAGTTTTAACATAAACATGTAACGTTTTTATTGATTAAATCAATCCTAGAATTATTTAGGAATGCAAAGAACATGAAGCTTAAGGGAGAGAGTAAGGATATAACTTGCCTTACACCGACGTTCGTCTCAATTTTCCAACAAATCCTCTGTTTGCTCTATGTTCTTTCCCAGCCATCTCCAAAACTTCACTCAGCCTTACTATGTCGTAGTATATCTCTAAAACCCTAGGCAGACATCTTAAGTGAGTATTTATAGGCCACACTAATCCTAGGCTCAATTAAACCCTAATCTGATTTACTCGGCCCATAGAACAATCTAGGTTATAAACTATGTCGACTATGAACTGTGTATTATATGAATGCAACCAACTATATAGTCACGTTAAGGCAGAATAAATAATGAAATTGAATTAAATAAATTCTAAGTAAAACAATTAAATAATTAATCTAAATAATTAATTCAAATAAAGCAAATAATCACAATTAAGTCAAATAATTTGAGCAATTAAACAATTAATCATAAAAAATTTTAATTAAATAATTAATGAAATTCTAGGACTATCCTTTGTAAAATTAGGAGTATTACATTATGTAAAGGTTATACCCATACAAATGAGCTTAAGTATATTTACATATGTGGTAAAAGAATGTCCATGCAATACAGAGAAATAATTTTTAAAAGCCAAACATATTTACATATCTTATTTATCCTTTTCAACTTTTTTTCTTAAATTCAAAAAATTGACAACCAAAGCAAACATGCCCTAAATTCCTCTACCTTGAATACAAAGACTCGAGGGAGTGAATAGTGTTACAAATCCTGAGCAGCATGCCTTCTCTCTCATCGCTTCTCACTTTGCAGCCTATCGCAATTGCTCGTTTCAGCCCTAGAAAGCATCAGTAGGAGATGAAGGTTAGATCCATCTCTGATCTCTGTGTTCTATAATCAATGCATTTTCTTATGATTTATTTAAACCATTGCTTACATATACTTTACTCTATATATATGTATTTGTTTTGCAGTTCAATATCGCGAATCCTACGACGGGTTGCCAGAAAAAGCTCGAAATTGACGATGATCAGAAGTTGTAAGTTTTAATTGATAGCATTGGGTTTTAATCACTCTCTTATGTTTTTTTCTGGGAATGTGGAGAGTTTATTGTGATTAGGGATCTTTTGCTCTAATGTGTGTATTCACTTTTGTATGTATGTGTAGAAATTGCTGTACACTTTCTGGTACGTAGCAAGTTCTACTACCACGGCATGAATAGGATGCATTTATGTATCACGAAGCTATTATACTTCTCAAAATTTGTTAATACATATATATATGTATTGTTTTGCTGGTAGTGGCCATTTTGATATAGATATTTTGGCCTATCAGTTTTATTCTTATGGTTTTACAAATGTAGAAATTTATTAAATATATGGTGTCCAGACTAGAGAAACCCAAAATCCAATTGCAACTCAATCATTCCATCAGAGTGACCTTTTTGGACTCTATTCGTAACTCACTAGAGGCCCGCGAAACAAAGAGAAGTTCTGTATGAACTAAATATCCAGCAACAAGAAGATGGAAAAGGATTAAATAGAGGAACTCCTGAACATTTGACAATCTGAGATGACCGTGGAAATGCACAAACCCATGCACACTAAACTTGAAGAGGGCCACAATCACATAGTTCCACTTCCCCCAGAAATAATTATACAAAGATTTTGTAGGACTTAATTCATTCATTGCCTTGTTGCACTGATTAAACATAGGGCCAATTGCCATTGGATTGTTTCATGCCTTCAGATTCTGTTTGGACCCGTCTTGGTTTTAGGACTCCAGCTACTATTCAATCATTTGAATTTTTGGAAAATATATTCAGCTGTTCTACTCTTAGACTTGTACTGCCAATCAACTAGATTTGGTGACTCCATTTTGTTTTACACTTTTCTAAAAGATAGAAATTTATCATCTTTAATTGGACATTACAGAAAATGGCAGCATCTGACTTGATGATAAAAGTCTGAGACACCTTTTCAGTTCAAGAAAACCAAAACGTATTTGATAATGCTTTTATGGCTTCCACTTTTTATAATGGCCTGATTTTGAATGATTAGTTTTCAATCTATTGCTACATAAAACAAATGGGATGCCATTTAGATTCCAGTGAACATAAATGCCCCTCAGTTTGAGTTGCTGTAATTTCTATGAGAAAATTTCCTTTTCTTATATCTAACATTACCATTGATGAAACAATGGCAATTTTTTGGAATATATTCCGTTACCTACTGCCTATGTTTTCTTCTTATTATTTCTTAACTTTTGTGTGATTATGAATTATCACTATCAAGTTTCAACCTGCAAATAATAACTAACTTCCTTTTTTGCATATGCAATGCCCATTCGTACCATCTTATTTGAGCAATTATGAAGGATAAATGTTCTTATCAAAAAAATTATGAAGGATAAATGTTTTCTTCATTCAAGAAAAAAAGACAAATGTTTTCTTCATTTCTTATTTTTAGTGTTTTCTAATAGATCAATGTCTAACCTTCCCTTTCTATTAAACTGCATAGATGAGCAGTTTTTGACAAGAGGATCTCACAGGAGGTCAATGGAGATTCCTTTGGAGAGGTATGCGCTCTCCACTCTGTCGCACATGTCAATTTCTGCCAATTTTTGTTTGTGTTTCACATTACTTCAAGGACACTTTTTGTTTGTTTAATAGGAATTTAAGGGTTATGTTTTCAAAATCATGGGAGGCTGTGATAAACAAGGATTCCCAATGAAACAGGGAGTGTTGACTCCTGGCCGTGTCCGTCTCTTGCTCCACAGAGGTGGGTATACAAATCTGTTTTGGTGCATGTTACCAGTTGAAATAAGTGCTCTACTGCCCGTTATGGTGAATCATATTCATGGCCTTTTAGAAACATGTTTTGGTGGTTCTTCCTGTTATCTGTGTTGCTGCAGGATACTGATGTTGAAGAATGTACTTTTGGTTGGCAGGAACACCTTGCTTCCGTGGATGTGGTAGGCGTACCAGAGAGCGGAGGAGGAAGTCTGTACGTGGGTGCATTGTCAGCCAAGACCTTTCTGTCCTGAACTTGGTTGTTGTGAAGAAGGGAGAGAATGATCTTCCTGGGCTTCCCGATACTGAGAAACCAAAAATGAGAGGTCCAAAGAGGGCATCAAAGATTCGTAAACTCTTTAATCTTTCAAAGGAGGATGATGTTCAAAAATATGTCAACACATACCGTAGAACATTCACAACCAAATCTAGTAGGTTTTCGAATTTTGCATCTGGCAGTATGTTTAAATATGCTATAAGCTCGGCAGAGCTTGTTCAGAATGCCCTAGGTTTATTGTTTGACATGGTGTAATTTATAGATGAAGTAATTACACCACCTCTTATGTGCTCAAGGACACAGATCTTTCTGGTGTGCATTGGGAGGATGTACTCCTAATGTGTTCACTTTTGTTGGTTGTATATATGGTCCCATTTGCGAAGGAGCACGTTGGTAATTAAACTGTTTTGGGGCCAGCCTGTGAGACTTGTTCTATTGTTGTCTAATTTTTTCTTTGCTAATTGTGGTCTGGGTAAAATCTATTTTCCTTTCTACATTTAGAAGCACCATGACATGTTCATCTGTCCGATATAAAAGGATAAATTTTAAAGAAATTGGTGTAGTTCCATGCATGTTATGTTGATAATATATATGTTCTGTGCAATTTGCAGGGAAAACGGTCAGTAAAGCTCCCAAGATACAGAGATTGGTTACTCCTTTGACTTTGCAGAGTAAAAGAGCAAGGATTGCGGAGAAGAAGAGAATTGCCAAGGCCAAGGCTGAGGCAGCTGAGTACCAGAAGCTCCTCGCTGCCAGATTGAAAGAGCAGAGAGAGAGGCGGAGCGAGAGCTTAGCCAAGAAAGATCTAGGCTTTCTGTCGTTTCTAAGCCATCCGGTTCTGCTTAGGTCCACTCGCGCTTGAAAATTCTAAATTTTGTCGAAAATGGATATAATTAGCAGTTATATTATCTGGATTCTAATATGTTTCATGACAATGGCTGTTCTTCTATAGTGCCTCTCAAGACTTTTCTAATCCATTGGTTTAATTATCAATAGATATTTCGAAAATTTGCGGAAGACGAGCCTGGCAGTAAATATCCAACAGTTTGATCTATTTTTTGATTTTAGGTATGCTTTTTTCATGGTTAAATGCCGCCAGTCGTGTTGATTGTTCTTCTACTCAAGTCCACAATTGTCTCGGATCAGATCTTGAATTTTCAACCAAGCTACGGTGAAGGGTATTGGTTATTTCTTTTGGCATTCAGACCGTGCTTTGTTTGGTCCTTGTTGGGATGGTGGGGCTGAACACTTTGCACATAATTGGATCAGTTCACATAATTGAAAGGATCAGTTGTTCTTAGATTCCACTAAACGAGTACAACTTTTGAGGAGTACTTAAGGTAAAATAGACCATTACCTAGTGTAGATCATGTTATCAATCATACTGAGAGATCAGAGATGTGTGTTGGTTATAGACATAACCTTTGAGATCCTCGACAGTCGTACAGACAGTCTCCCTTATTTTGGAAATGTTGAGGTGTTATTGTGGAAGGATGTACTTGGTTTATTGTTTATAACCTAAGTCGCACAGAGCGAGAGCAATTTTAAAAAGCGGGAGCACGAAAACAACAAAATTTAAGTCGCATGAAGTAGGAATGGGAGCAAGATTGTGCGCGGAACGTGAAAACAAAAGCGTGTAGACGTGAGAGCGGCAGCAGTCGAGGAGAATGGTATGACTTATAGTTTATAACTGTGGATTAGTCTTTTCATTGGTAGGAGGACATTTCTTTATTTGTGAAAGAAGACTACCCAATGTTCAATACCCTTCAAATGCGGCTTTCCATGTTTGTTACCTTTATCAATCAAGAAATATTAATGTTTCTTACCTATTGTTCAACCCTTCAAGTGCAGTTTTCCATTCTATTTGAGGACTTGATTTTGATGATTAAATGTTTTACATATACCTACTCATGTTTGTACTGTGGTTGCATTCTTGCATAAAAGACTGGCTGCAAGGCTAATCACATCATAAATCCGAGTTTAGGGTTGGATTCATAACAGTTTGTCTTTAGCATCACATTCTGGGGCAATGGGAGCCGTTGGATCATAAATGTGATGATCGGGAGGATATTTAATATTTTCTCGAGAGAGGGGGCTTATTTGTTATAACGAATTACTTAACAGAAAGTTTTTTATTAGTTATTTATACACAATACAAATGAAGAACCTATTCATTTGCTGAGAACGTCACAAATTGATACAAGTATCAATTTTTTTTTTTTTTTTGGTTATGATAAAAAAAATTAACTTCATTATTTGATTCAAAACACCAGTCATTGATGACATAATCAATTAGAATAAAGGAGGAATAACCTCGATTTCTTAATGACAAAATACATTTTTTTATTTCTTTCGTAAATTAAAAATATCATGCAAATCCTTTCAATACTAATTATAACTCTCTTTTTTATTTTTTCTTTTAGTATCTCATCAAAACAGAAATTGCTTATTTACAGAAAAAAAAAAAAAAAAAAAAAAAAAAAAAAAAAATTCATTTTTACACTAAATTGAAGAGTTCCTAGAATATGTTCTACCATTTAGTCGTTCTATTTCACTCTTAAATTCTCGTAGCTAGTCAAATTTAATCATTACATGCTTTAGGTCAACATAAATCTATGTCCGCACACAGATTATAATTAAAACGCATGGCCCTAAACAATGAGGACTGGATTTTGTCATGCTTCACTGGTCTGAGAGCTGAAAATTAGAAAAATATAAAAAAAATCTGTTTGGATCGTAATTTTTGAAAATTATTTTTTTTAAATTTCATTAAAATTTCTAAATTTTTTATAATTATTTTATAAAAATTGAACCAAATAGACCCTAATACATCTTACACGTATATTTTGACATCGAACTCGAGAATTCAAAACTAATAACAGGAAAAAAAATAAAATAAAATAAATAAATAAAATGGCATAAATTTGTCGAGTACTACAATATTTTTAAGACTTGATTTCATATTTTGGAAATCAAAAGAAAGGGTGGTTAAATGATTAAGATGTATTATTTTCAAAAGGTAATATTTGAATCATTCACTCAATTTTAGTACCAAATTGGGATAAGCATGAGTGGTTTGATAGAAGTATCATCTAACAGTCCTGGTTCAGCAGCTACTTGCCACCCTGGGTTGGATTGGGAAGATTTTTGGTTAGATTTGAGAGTAGATATTTAGGTAGCATGTGAAGAAGCCATTTTGCTACCACACTTTTTTTATAGATTATCTCTAAGGCCTTCAAGTTTTATGCTTATCTTTCAAATCATTGGGCTTCTTTCTTAGGTAAGTAGGTTTAGTACAGACACGTGATTACCAAATTAACAAACATGCCCTGAGGCCAAACTAGTAAATATATCTACGGCCCCTTTTTATGATGAATCCTGCTGCATTTGTCAGCGACCATGAGATATGGATGTGAGCCAGGTCATCTCTCAGTCGTTTGTCACATGTTGTCAAGTTTAGAGTTTTTCTTTTCTGACTAATCAACTTGAAGTTCAATTCAAAGAAAAGTAAAAATAAATGCTCGGAAAGATAATCGTAAATTTTGAGTAGACGAAGAGATAAGAGAAAAATGATTTTCCAAATTAATTGCTCCGAGACAATTTGGTATATATTTGATAAGGCATGAATAATTTTTGTTGTTTCACCCAAAAATATATATATATATATTGAAGAAGAAGAAAGGTAGTTTAAAATATTGGAAATGAGGGTTATTAACTTCAAGTTCAAGCATTTTATTTCTGAATATTAAGAGAAGAGCAACAATGAGTATCATGAAAACCACATTACCAAAATTTTATGAATATCACCTCACCATATTTGGAGACCCTTTATTGATAGACTTCATTTCTAATTGTTCAATACATTCATTAACATTAAAAACACTCAAGTATATAGATAAAATGGTTAAAAACTTTAAAATATATATAAAAATAAATAAATAAAAAGTGAACTTCATAATCCAATATGCCTTACTTCAATGTAATCCATATGGCCAAACAATGTAAAATACAACCACAATAAAATTTCATGTTATAGATAATAAAATTTATTTCAAGAAGAAAGAAAGAAATGATCAACCTCCAAATTTGCCTTGCCAATTACAACCTTATTTAATATTAGCAAAGTTGTTGAGGTTTCCGACTTAATTTTCCTTCGTATGATCTATATATCATTGGTTGGAATGGTCTTTGCCAATCACAACTCAACGCGCAAACAAATGTGTCAGCTTTATATAAATTTTTGTTGTGCTGAATTGTGATTAGACGGACCATATATTCCGGCCCATTATTCGTGTTTTGCACTCTGAGATGCTAGATTTCAATGAAACACAAAACCAAAAAGATAAAATAGGATTCTGAACAAGTCCACAAGATGCAAGAGAAAGTGTGCCAAACATGTACAATTTGAATCCCTAGTTGCATTGGACTTGGTCCAAATCTAGAACATAAACAAACCAGTTGTTGTTGGCTCATCTACCCTGAAAAGAACAGGCTATTAGCAACACACTAGCATGTATAATTCAACCGACCAAAATGCACAACTTATATATTGATTGCAATTCATAAATTTTTGCTTTATTCCTCCCTTTAGAAGTCTCAAACCATTAGTTTCTTCCAGTATACACATACAGTACATAACATAGCTTAAAGCTAAATGAACACAAAGATTAAATATATTTAATACAGCCAGTAATGATTTTATAAAAAAACAAGGGGCATGTTGGTTGGCCTTTGAAGCCATTCTACAGCCCTAATGAAGACATCGGGCGCTGGGATCCCATCCTCCTCTTTCTTAGGCGCTCTGCAATGACGAAGGCAAGCTCTAGCGACTGAGATGCATTGAGTCTCGGGTCACAATGGGTGTGGTAGCGTGAGCTCAGGTCATCAAATGTCACAGTTCGTGCTCCGCCAATGCACTCCGTCACATTCTGGCCAGTCATCTCTAGATGAACACCACCTGGGTGGCTTCCTTCTTGCTCGTGCACGTCAAAAAATGCTCTCACCTCAGCCTGTTCCAGGACAATATACCATATTATTATTGTTACGAAAAAAAATGCTTTATGCCGAGTTCAATTACTGTAAGTTGTCAGAAAAGCAAGAAAAAACTAGGGGATTTTAAGACAGTGACTCTTATTAGTTATTAGCCCAACCAGCCATGAGAGCCATAGTTTTCTTTCCCTTTTGTGAATTTTCTTGGCAATGAAACAGAGTATTAGATAGAGGATATCTTCGGGGAAAAAAAAAAAAAAATTCTTATTTAGCAAAATGGGTCCCAAGGTTTAAACTCCAAACCAACTAAAGATAATGACACCTAGCCATCTACCTACCAAAATAATATCTAATTTGAATCATTGCATACGTGTTTAAGGAATGTCATTTTGACTATTTTACCTTAGTGGCGTTTCTAAGTTGTCATTTTCTCACCTACTACTGCACCTTGTTTGCCAATCTTATTATGAGTCTTATTAGTATGAAATAGTAATTATAATCCATGTACACTTCATATTCCCCAAAATTCAAGGTTGTTCAGCTAATAGCCAGAAATGAGCCAACACCCAACTATCCGGTTTATTAAATGATGACGATGGTCCCTATTCTTAAATCATGCTGATTACCAGAAATCTGGCACTCATTTAAGAACAAGTATTGGCAAGTGATGAAACTATCAGACCCTGACCTAATTTGCTAAAAGTCAATAGTGTTGTTGCGTCGTAAATATTTTCATCCAAAATGATGTTATACCAAAACTATTGTGAAGATCAATTCAAATTTTGTATACGCATGACAGACACTAAACAACTCAAGGGTTAAAGGACATTTGGACAAAACACAAACAATATCTTTCCTTTGTCTTATATTGTACTCCCTCCATCCCATAAAAAGTGTCACTTTTAGGGAACCGTGACTCTCACAAATTGAAGTGTCATGGTTCCCGAAACACGATACTTTTTTTGGGACAGAAGTAGTATTTCAAATTAACATAACCTTTTGTAGCACTCAAAATTATTGTTATTATTCCTTATTTGCATGGATCAAATTAATTTGAGATTTTAAAAGATGATATCGTATCAAATTTATCAACATAGTATAAAGCATCAGATATGAGTAAAATGTGAGCAATATACCCTGATAGCATCGAATGGGCGAGTTTTGAGACCGCAGGGAGCCTTGATGGTGTTTCCATGCATAGGATCACTGACCCAAGTGACAACTTGACCTGCCCTGCGAACTGCCCTAATTAGATGGGGAAGCTTCACCCTCATGTTCTCTGCTCCCATTCTAGTGATTATTGTAATCCTTCCCGGTTTGTTCTGAGGATTCAAAATCTCAATGAGCTTGACTAGCTCATTTGGATCCATCTTATCGCTCACCTGTGAAATAAGAGCAATTTTTTCGATCAGCGACCTACCTTACTCCACATGTATGATCAAATCACATGAAAACGCAATATAGGTTCAAATCTTAGAGCATGCCATACAACAAAATATGCACATGCAGGTTAAACATCAAATTCACCAATAAACTGTTTACCTTAATTCCAAGGGGATTAGCAACTCCTCTCAAGAACTCAACATGGGCACCATCCAGCTGTCGTGTTCGTTCCCCAACCCAAAGAAAATGGGCAGAGCAGTCATAGTACAGGCCAGAAGTTGAATCCATCCGAGTAAGTGACTGCTCATAAGGCAAGAGCAAACACTCATGGGATGTCCAAAACTCAGTGGTTGTCATGATAGGATGGTCAACTGTAAGTCCAGCAGCAGACATGAATCCAAGAGCTTCATCAACTCGGTGAGCTAGTTCCCGGTACCTGCTCAGCACAACATGAAGCCTATTATGATCTAAAACAAAACTTACCAACCAAATTTGAACTCAAAATGTTTCAACAACTAATCACCAAAAGTACAACCGATAAGAATCCCATATTTGACAAAAAACAAAAAACAAAAAACAAAAAAGTAACTTTCCAGTGACGTAAAATCCATATTATTAATTTTTATTTTATTTTTTTCCTTTTTTGTCGAACCTCTCAGAGCATCCCAAATCCACCATTGGACACATGTCCCGTAAAAAATTCCCGGGGAGTAGTCCCAAGGAAATTCAAACAACAAACCTCCAATAGGTGATGTGAGAGTCTTTGTCATTAGACTATCCTCCTGATGCAACCGACCACCCATAAATCAGGTGTATCATTTAAGCCCGGGTAAATTACGTGTATCATTTAAGCCCGGGTCTCACCTTCGTTGACTCTCGAGATAGTGAGCCACCGGAATCACATGCCAGCCAAGCTAGCCCCAGGTCAAAGCATCAATATAGAAGCACCCACAAATATCAGAAACCATATCAAAATGACCTAAAATAAACAAGTTTTATTTGTTTTCAACAGAAAAAGTTTCAGGCTAAAAATAAACACAAGTCAAAGTCATATTCAACACACACACACACATATATATACCTATCCCCCTGCTCGCTGTGCTCCGTGAAATCCAAATTCCATTGGGTGACCCTCTGCATAGCAGCATACCCTCCGGTGGCAAAAGCCCTCAAGAGATTCAGAGTAGCTGCAGATTGACAATAGGCCCTGATCAACCTCTGCGGGTCTGGAGTCCTCGATTTCAAGTCGAAAGCATCTCCGTTCACATTGTCCCCTCTGTAACTCGGCAGCTTCACGCCGTTCTTCTCCTCAAACGCCTCCGATCTGGGCTTCGCAAACTGACCCGCCATTCTTCCCACCTACAAAACCAATACCAATCACCCGAATTTAACTCAAATTCAATAAGCTCACATGAACAAACCAATACCAATCACCCAAATTCACTCAAAAACACCATGAACAAACCAATTTAAAATCAATAAACATTAAACAATCTGTTAAATCAAAGATGGGTTTGATACCTTGACGACAGGCATTTGTCCACCGAACATCAGAACAGCTCCCATTTGTAGAAGAATCCTGAAAGTGTCACGAATGTTGTTGGCATTGAACTCCTTGAAACTCTCCGCGCAATCCCCGCCTTGCAGCAGGAACGCATTGCCCATTGCGGCCTCGCCGAGTTTTTCCTCGAGACTCCTCGCCTCGCCGGCGAACACGATCGGAGGGAACGCATCGAGCGTTCGGAGCACCGTTTCGAGCTCTTCCTGATCTGGGTATTCCGGAAGCTGAAGGGCCTTCTTCGATTTCCAGCTCTCCACGCCCCATTTCCTCGGAACCGTTTCTGGGTTCGTCACCGCCGGTGATTTCGTCGCCGTCGCAGAGGTCGCCGGCGTGGTTGGCTTCGACGGCTTGTCGGAGACAATGGGGGTTTTTGAAGGGTCGGAGGAGTGGACGGCGGAGATGGGTTGGATGGATCTGATGGATTTGGGTTTGGTGGAGAGAGAGGTTTGGTGAGGATTGGAGGTGGGTAAGAGAGATTGGGTTTGAATGAAGGTAGATTTGGTGGGAAGAAGAGAGGAGGTGCTTGTGAGAGCCATTGGATTTTGTGGATGAGAGAGAGTTGTAGAGAGATACTACTACCTTATAAATTTAGGGTGTCAAGGAGGGTACCTGAAGAGAGAAGAGATTGAGAGGCGTTTTATAAGGGATGGTTTTCGTGTAATGTTGGGGTGAGGGGACAGGTTGTCTGGTAAGGCCCATTGTGGTGGTGGTGGTGGTAGTTGAGAAGGGTATTTTAGGTAATTAACTTACCTCAAAATGCTTACAATAAGTCAATATTTTTTGTTTTCTCAATAATGTTTTAAAGTGACCTTTGAAAAAAAATTAATGTTTTAGAGTTGGTGTAAAAGCTCATTAGCCAAGCCAAGCCTAGCCTCAAATAGTAATATAATTAAGGGCGTGTTTGGAACCAAAGAACAGGAGCATTTATGTTTTTCTTAAAATGCCTTCATCCATTCAATACCTCCATTTATAGAACCAAGGATTTAAATGGCTTAGGGTGGATCTTTGAAAAAAAATTAAATGTTTTAGAGTTGAAGTAATGCTCATTAGCCAAGCGGAGCCTCAAATATTAAAATAATTAAGTCTGTGTTTGGAACCAAAGAACCTTAAAATTTAAATTTTTCTTAAAATACCGTAATCCATATAATAGGTGTATATATAGAATCATGGGATTTAAATTTATTCAAGAAGATGGACAATATTACCGGCCTCCACACTCTTCAAAAAAGAAATTTTTTGTGATTTAGTACATACACTTTTAAGTACAAAAGCTTCAATATCTCATAATTGACCTTAAAACCTACACAATCACTAGAATGAAATTTAGAAAAGAAATAGGATCTTGAAACCTCCTTACTTGCGGAGACAGGAGTGAAAACGTCTTACATGCCTTCAAAAAGAATATGTGGTATGGCAAAAGGTTTGCTGTAAACTTTCTGGCCCTCCTATCTTTCACCTACGTGTGGAAGAGGGGGAGGCGGTGACTGGTTTGGCACTCCTCGTCATCTCTATATTCGAAACAATGAGTAACTTTATCTTTCTTACTCCTCTTCTAGTTGCGCCATTATCACTCGAGGGTTACTCTCAGACCACTCATGACCTAAATATAATAAGAACAATTATATTTTTTTTCTAGTTAGGACTCACATACATTGCGTCCACTAAGATTCGAACTCTTGACTTCTATTTGGGAAGTACGGCCAAACAAGAACCTACTTACTTCTCGAACAATAGTTCTATGATCTCGACCATCGACTATTTGACAAATCAATAATGGAAGTACCTGTAGATAAGTTGAGAAGGGTATTTTCGGTAATTAATTAACTCAATCGAAAAAAGTTTTGGAGTTACATTTGAAAAAATATATATATATATATAATGTTTTAGATTTTGTGTAAAAGATAATTAACCAAGCCCAGCCTCAAGTATTAAGATAATTTAGGTTACCTTTGAAATTAAAGAAATAATGAAATTTAGAAAATAAATATGTATCTTGAAACCTCTTTGCTTGCAGAGGGAGGAGTGAAAGAACGCTTCACGAAAGAATGTGTGGTAAGGTGAAAAGTTTTCTGTTGGACTTGCCGACCCTCCTAGTCTTCACCTACATGCGAAAGATGGAAGATGGTGGCTGGGTTAACACCCTAATGCGATAGTTCTATATAAGTCTTTTATTCTTACTTGCGATAGTTCTACATCTAGACCAATGACGCCGTGCCCACCAACGCATGCTCTGTGCACCGTAGCCCATGCACCGTGCCCTAAGCGAGCAACTTATTTGCCCACTAGTGAGCAACTCCTAGTCTCACCGTTGATGACCTAATATATATCTATCATTAAACGTGTATAGATTTTTGAAATTTTTAATCAAATAAAATTATTTACACTAATATTAAAAGTGTAAGAATTTTTGAATTTTTTTTTATAACTCTTCAAATGTCCAAAATAACATCTTATACAACAATTTTTCCCATCTCATAAACACTTTTTTTTTTTTTTTTTACACAAAAACCATCTTTTAAACTCCCATTCTCAAAAAAATATCGGGTGAACCGAGTATACCATGTTATTGGTATACCCAACGAATGAGGATGCATCATTTTAGTTGGTTAAGATAAATTTTTATATGTAAATGGGACCAATTGAATTAAATTGTGCATATTCATTACCTTGACGTACCAATGATATGGCATGCCTGACTCACCCTTTTCTTTCCCCTACCGAATTCAAATTCTAATTCATGGACCACACCCCTCCGTTCATTGCCTTATCTCATTGTTTTTGATGCTCTCACGCATCTCTCTCTCTCTCTCTCTCTCTCTCTATATGTGTGTGTGTCCCTTCTTTGACAAGATATCTAAAAGTTTTATTTTTATTTATGAGATTTAATTTTGTTGCTCCTAATACTTTATTTGAAAATAGGCATTTACTTTTATAGTCTTCTCAAAATGATTGTTTTTTACATTTTGTTTATCTCCTTTTTATTCAATATATTTTCAATTTTATCTTTCCTTTCTTCTTTTTCATTTCTCTTTCTACATCACGTACATAAATTTGTATTGATTGAGAATTTATGTCTGACGTTAATGTTTTGAATTATGTGACAGTTTACTTCAACTAATTTATCTTAAATTAAACTCTTTAGGGTCCATTTGGTTAATTAGAAATTGATGATGAAAAATAGAAAGAAGGAAAGTGAAGTGAAAAAAAAGGAAATTAGTTTTCTATTATGCATTTGGTTAGTAAGAATTTTTTTGAAAAAACTTGTGAGAAAATGTTGTTTAATTAGTTTGGATAGCAAGTGAATGAAAGGAAAATAATTTTATATGTCAAAATTACCTTATGAATTTAATAGTAAAATAATAATAATATATACAATTAAATAATAATAATATTAGTAAAATAATATATACAATTAAATTACCCTTATGAATTTAATAATAATAATAATAGTGATAAAATAATATATATAATTGGATTTAAAAATAAATATATATGTCTAGATATGTATGTGTCTCTTTATATAGTTTTTTTTTTTTTTTGGAAGTTTTCATTTTATATTAGCACTCTGCTATTAGATTAGTTTACTTTATTTTGTAGGTGTAGTGAAGAATTTTAATTTCAAGAGTAAAAGAATTATAATCAATTTAGGAGTATTAATTTGTGTAAGAAAACCCACCTTTTGTGAGTATGAAGAAACAAAAAGAAACATTTTATACAAAGGTATATGAGGAAATTAATATATAATGATATAACTATCACGCGAAATTAAAATTTTCGCGGAAACATTTTGAAGAAAATCAAGCCGTTGCCGGAATATTACTTTCCTGAAAATTTTTATTTTTGCGCTAACCAAAAAGCTAAAAATCTTAAAAATTTCTATTTCTCTTTTTTTTCTCGCTAATTCACGCTAACCAAACTTATCCTTAATTCATGAAAAAACATATAATTACATAAGAAACTCGAGTAAGAACTTGACCCATTGAGACGATACTTTGATAACTAAAGTAAATCAAGAACGCATCGACATATAGTTCAGTTATCAGTGACATTTATGTTCTGATTTATACTATATTATGACATTTTTTTAACGTTCCTTTTATATTATTTATTGTTGTGTTTTCATATTGCAGTTTTTAGTATATTTAGTCGGGTTATGTGATTGTTGTTTGTTGCTGGGTCACCTGATTTGAATTAGTTCTAAATTAAAAAAATTACAGTATTGTTTTAAGTAATTAGAGTTAACTATAAACAATACGCAGTTTATTTTTATTTACCTTTTTTAACCCAAAAAGTTGGGGGGGGAGGGGGGTTGGGAAAACATTATTGTTGTATTGTTTATGTTCAATTGCTTGTATTTGGGTTATAAGTAATAACAAAAAAAAATAAAAAATAAAAAGGCAAATTATGAGTGTTACATAAATTGGTATTTCGAGAAAAATCATAGCAAGGATTTTCAAAAACAATTAAACTGAATTGTTATGTCATTAGTCTAAATAGACACCAAAGATTATTCATTATATATATTCTGTTCGCCTCTTCCATTCCACCATACACTATTTTTTAACTCTTCCATCCTCTCTCTATCTTCCTCTTTCTCACTTAAATACCCATGACAATATATGTCATTGATTAAGAACATCTATCTTTTTATCTTTTAATTAATGAATTATTATTATTTTTTTTACAAGAATTTCAATACATGTACAAATTAAAGACTTATATTGAATATATTGAAGTGAGTTGTAAAAGGATGTATGAATGCTAAAAAATTACTCTACGAAGATTTATATAACAATATTATGAATAAATCTAATGTCATTTATCAAGTTTTTGTTGATCGTTATAATATAGTATAATAGTTTTTTGTTTTGTTGCTTTATCAATTATTTTCATTTTTTTTAATGAAGGAATGATTGTTAAATTTTGTAATTTTTAAAATATTATCACTAATATTTATTGACTCTTTCCCTATTATTTCTTTTTAATTTTTTATAATTTTTATTGAGCAAAGTCTAACTCCTAAAGTTCGATACTTTCCCCAAACTAGGTGATGGCTAATAAGAAATATATGGATTTTAAAAAGATATACATCATATTTTGGAGAAACTCAACACAATAACTTCAATTTCAGTTAAATACAAAGTATATAATATTATATTTAATCGCGTGCATAACACGTACATTTTGGCTAATATAATGAGAAAGATTATCTTAGAATAAAGTACAAAAAACTCTCATGTGGTTTTAAAAATGTGCAAATAACACGTTCAAATCCTAACCTTATAGTATATAAAATGAGCAAAGAAGGACTTCAGACACTAAAAAATAACATGTGATGGTCATGTGACCAAAAAAGCTTATTTAATACCAACTTTACCCTTTTTGTATTTCCAAATTGCCCCTCCCTTATTTATTCCTTATATATATATATAATTCCCCTTTTTCTATTGTTTATCTATAGAAAGGCTCTCTCTCTCGGCTCTTTATTTCTCTATATTATTTCTTTTATATTTTTGTTATATATTTATTCTCACTCTATACAGATTCTCTCTCTATATATATAATTTTAATTTCTATATTTTTCCATCTCATCACAATTTCTCTACACACACACACACATATATATATGGTATACAT